TAAATTTTAACAAAATGTGTGGAGATAGATAGAGAAGTGCTTTAGATTATAAATAGCTAGGTATGGGGGGAAAGTGGAGAAGGTTAAAGTTGTGGTTGGCTTCTTGCAAAAGTTTTGAAAATGTTGGAGGAAGATGTTAAATTGATGGGTTATGTCGATAGGAAACTCGTTTCCACAAGACGGGGTTTGTTCCGGTAAATTTTTGTTAAATAAGTCAAAAGGGGTGAAGAGGGGACTTTACTATTGTTTTCTAATTATTGCAATTTGTTTCGCATACAATTTTACTTTTTTTTCATGGATTTGTTATTTAATTGTGATATTATACGCATAAGAAAATTTTCTATCGGCAATGTACAGCTTCTATCACCTGCATAATTTAGATTACAAGACCGAACAATTTCTAAATGAGTTGACAACTTATTTTCAGCACCAGAGTGGGCATTATAATTAAGCGATGTAAGATAATTGCTGCTTGAGTGACACATTGTAAGATAATTGATAGTTAATGATGACAAATTTCAATAAAACATGGTCAAATTTTAGCAAGATACCACTGAGAGGGAAAATGGGGAGTTTTAACAGCCGTTATTGCTTTGGCTTTTTCAGTAATAGTAGTAAGCAAATATATAAATTGGGGTCTGCTTACATGGATATGTAACCTATAAAGGAAAATTTCCAACAAGGAGGGTGGAAAGCGCAACTCCTCATTCAAAACCCAAAAAGCCCTCTGTTCAATTGGTAATTGCAGGAAATTTGATGAGTTTGGACTTTTGGCCACCACCTTTAAAGGGTATTTTAGGGACTTAGCAAAAGCGGCTCCGCCTTACATAGATGCTGCAACCTGACGCCATGCTTACATCTGAGGAGCATCAATGCTCACACAAACAGTTGCACATCAAAAACACCCTCCAAGATTGCAATTTTTTTCACATAGCTGCCACGATCTGAGATGATTATGGAAATGCCCCTTAGTTAGGTCTCTTTCCTAAAATTAGCACCAAAAGTTCCCTTTGTTTGGATGGGGTGAAGGTGAACCAAGGAGAAGGGCCAGAGGCTTCATTTAGTTTGGAAGTTTTTTTTTTAAGGAAATGGAGAGAGAAGAAGCTAATGCGAGTTTCAATTAACTTCACACTACTGACGAACTATGAGGAGTTAAGTCTCTACCCGATCACTAACGAATCAAGCAAAATACGTAGCCAAAGAATGCCAAGAACAAATCTCCAAATTCTGAACAAAAGAAATCCTAATTTTATTAATAATTCTCCTAAGTTTTCAACCAGTAAAAATATAATTAAAAAAACTCTAATAATTAGTTAGCCCTAAATAGCCTCCGTTTGGCTTTTTTGCACAAAAACTCCATATTGTTCCTAAACAAATCCTATTTGCAAACAAATTACTATTTCTAAACAAGTCCTATTTGTAATCAAAACAAGTCATATTCAGACTATAATTCTTTCAGCATGTAGCTTCTTGTAGTTAGGCACTACTCGAGCATGATCATTCCTACACCACCGATGGCTATGGAATCATATAATTCTCCCCTCCTTCAAGACTACACTTGTCCTCAAGTGTAAGATCACAAAAACCTCTTATTGAGCTCATCATAGTCTTCCGATGTAGCTTGGTCCTTGTCAAGCCCTTCCAATGCACTAACACTTGCCACACCCTTTCTCTAATATGCCGCTCCATCCAACTCCTATCGTGAAGCACCCTATTAGGAACCAATAACATGTTACCCCCTAAATCAAATGAAGGTAATTCACCCACGAGCAAATTGGAGTCCCCTACTTTCTTCTTCAACACAAACACATGAAAAACTGGTGCGAAAACTTCACATTGGACCTCTTCTTCAAAGAACTCTTTGGTACGGCTGCAACTTTAAATATATCAAGTCACCCGACTCAAAGATCACATCACATCGCCCTTCTTCATAATATTTCTTCATCTGCTACGGGGCTTTAGCTAACTCGCTCTTTGCACCACATAAAATATCATCCTTGGCCAATAGCTCCTGCTCCACCTCAGCGTTCTTTGTCATCCTTAGCTCATAAGATTATAGCATAGGCAATGGCCGCCCATACATTACCTCAAACGGGCTCTTTCGGACCGACGAATGGAATGCAGTATTACACCAATACTCAACTCATAGACTATAAAATCCTTCCACCTCTTCTATTTCTCATGACAATAACTCTTCAAATATTGCTCTAAAGTGTGGTTCATCACATCTATTTATCCATCGGTATGCGGATGATATGACGAACTCGTCTTCAGTTTACTCCCCTATAATACAAACAACTCCTACCAAAAGGAACTCATGAATAGCTTTCCCCGATTGATGATTATGCATCTTGGAATCCCATGAAACCTGACCATATTTTTCGTAAAACCCGAGCAATGCTCGCTACCCTAAATGGATGTTTCAGTTGAATGAAGTGTGCCTCCTTACTCAAGTGATCCACCACGACTAGTATAGCCTCAAATCCCTGACAACTAGGCAACCCCTCTACGAAGTCCATTGACTAATCCTCCTAAATTCTTTTTAGAATCGGCAAAGGTTGCATGAACTCTATCGGAGCCCTCTGGTCATATTTTGCCTTCTAGCACACATCACATTCAGCTACTTTCGCCCTCACCACTGCATTTAGTCTTTTCTAATAGAAAAAAAAAATGCTTCGCCCTGATGTAAGTCTGAAGCCACCTAAATGAATTCCCTCTCCGTGGTCATGAAAATGAGATAGAATGTCGTCTCTTAAGCCTGGTTCTCTGAGAACATATACATAGTTTTTGTAGAAAAGCAACTCATCTCAAAGATCATATCTCTGTACCCTCGGGTCTCCTCACCCAATCTGGTCACGAATATCCCAAGCTCGCTCATCCAACTCCACAACCTGATGACTATGATCCCCCCACCTAATTAGCACTAGTAATTGCATTGAAACTCCCTTCCTCATTGCTACACACCGACCACAATATCGAACTATTCTCCTTTTGAGATAATGCATTGACAACTCTATTCTCCTTCTCAGGTTGATATATGATGTCAAACTCAAACCCAAAAGCTTCACCACAAACTTCTGTTGCTCAACAGTATTAATCTTCTGCTCATCAAGTGTCTCAATGCCTATGGATCAGTGATAACAACGAACTTACTTCCTAGCAAATACATCTTATACACCTTCATTGCATGTATCACTGCTACCATCTCCTGAGTATAAGTATTCGAGGTCCTCTGTCACGGTCCCAATACCTTCAATGTTAGGTTATCGGCCTTCCTTCTTGTACCATAACTACTCCTATCCCTTCATCACCGGCGTTCGTATGCAACCTGAAACTCCTTCAAAAACATTTGCCAATGCAAGTACCGGAGTTTGAGGCATAATCTTCTTTAGATCCTCCAATGCTCACCGAGAATCTTCTATCTACCGAAATCCATCGTTCTTCAACATGCCTATCAACAACTTGGTAATTAATCCATAATGCAAAATAAATCTTCAATAGTAGCATGTCAATCCCTAAAAACCCTCGCAAAGATGATACATCCTTCGGCAGAGACCAATACAAGAATGAAGCAATCTTCCTCTCATCTATCTTCACCACCTCGCTTGAGGTAATGTGTCCTAAACACTCTAACTCTGACTTCATAAAATTACACTTCGACAACTTAATGAAGAAGTTGTTTTTTTCTCCAAAATTCTCAGAACCTCATCCAAATGTCACAAATGTTCCTCCAAATGGGTGAATACACCAACATGTCATCAAAAAACACAAACACAAACTTTCTCAAATATGACTGAAAGATGGTTTCTAGAATGTAGAAGGCATGTTACACAATCCGAACGATATCACCAAGTACATAATGCTTCGAATGCATCCAAATGATGTCTTGTGTACATCCTCCTAGCTCATTTGAACCTAATGATAACCAACTCACAAGTCCAGACTCGTGAACACTATTGCTCCAGGTAACTCATCTAACGTCTCATCCACAATGGGAGTAAAAAATTAGCCCTTCACCATAGCAACGTTTAGAACCCTGTACTATGTGCAAAATTTCCATGCACCATCATTCTTCCTCACCAAGAGAATAGGCAAAGAAAATGGACTCTGACTCATCCTGATCAATCAATTCTTTAGCATCTCCTCGACCTGCCTTTTCTATTTCCTCCTTCTGAAAGTGTGCGTAGTGATACGGTGGTACAGTAATTGGCTTCAAACCATCCTTCAAAACAACCCGATGATCCTATATTTTCGATGGTGGTAGCTCGCTCAGTACCTCTGTGACCCTTTAATGTCATGATACTACCTCACGCACCCTAGCATCCAACTGGACCAATGGATCCTCTCTATCACTTCTAGAACTAGATTCGGCTAGCAGTAGAAGACCATCAAAACCTCCTTGATTCCCTGCAATGTGATAATAGCAAAGCACTATGCTCCTCGTCAGCACAACCGCTCAAATGAATTAGCTTCATAGCTCTTTAATCCCCTCAAATTCATAGTCCAAGTGTGTCTCTTACCCTTCAAATTAAAAACCATCCACATCGCCTCAAAGTTCATCTTCACATCACCCAATCGCCTCATCAAAGCAATCCCAAGACAACATCCATACCCACTAATGCCAACACATGAAGAGTAGCTGTAATCCTAACCCCATGGACGTTCATACCAACATCCTAGACAATATCCTCATACTGCATCTTCTTCCCGTTAGCGATTTGCACCTCAAACCCACTTTCCTAGCAACCCCCATATTAATGAAACTATGCAAAGAGTGAAGTCTTGTACTTCCCTACCCAAGCTATCATCATGAGAGTAGACGATCTAGAAACCCCAGTCATCGCATTAAGGGACAACTCAGTACCCATCAAAGCCTCCTCTCTGTCATCGACCCCCTATTTATCACTAACGAAATATGATGCATCTGTGCCATTTCCCTCATAACTAGACTACATGATCATGAAAG